GTTGTCTTCTCCAGATTTTAATTCAGTGTAACTATTTGTCTAAACTGGCTGCTATCTAAGGCTAGAGAGACCAGTCTACTCGGCTTTTTAACCCATATATCAAGGGGAAGAGATGGATCCATACCTTTCTCAAGGGTATTAGTGTAAAATTGAATGGAACAGTCTAGGACAGAATTTAAACTTTATTTGCTGAATTTGATTGTTTATTGTCTCTTGATAAATGCAAGAGATTTGGTGAGGATGAACAGAATGTTTTTTATTTGAATATTTTATTACAATTTGTTACTTCCTTTTGATCTTATGATTTATTTACGTTGTTTGGATAAGGTCAAAGTGACTTTGTTTTTTAAATTAGAAACTGAAAAGACAGTTGAAAACGGGAAGCTTTTGCACACGCTTGATACAAATGTAATCATAATTACTTTCAAAGAATGTTAAAAAAAATATAAACAAAACTTTAATGCCATTTGACATTTCTTTGATATTGTTTTGACTTTGTCGAAACTCCCATGTCTTTTTGATCTGTCAGTCAAATGCAGATTTCATCAATTTTCTTTCTTACCATTTATTTATAGGAAGTGAAAGTTGCTGGGTAATACTTGTAGGATTCCTAACACTGTAAAATTCATGACTTATAACAAATGATGAAAAATGCGACATAGAAATCCGAAGCACATCGAAATAGAAAAAGATGCTTTCAAAAGCTAAGCAAAGTATTAAGAAAATTTCATTATAGACAAAGCAAAGTGTGCTGGCCTGCTATATAATATCAATACTTTTATATGGTTGTGACTACTGGAAAATTTTCTCACAGATAAAGAGGAGACTTGAGGCAACAGAAATGTCCTTCTGCAGGAGGATAATGAAAATATCATGGACTGAGCATATGTGCAAAAGGAAGTTTCAAGGAAAATGGGAATGAATAGAAAACTTGCACTTAGGATCAGAAAGAGTTGAAATTTTTAGGGCATATGATGAGGAAAGAGTGCTTGAAGAATTTGGCACCCACAGGGAATATTGAAGTCAAGCTGGATAGCAGAACTGGAACCAAGAGGGTTAGTAAGGGGAATTTTTGGTAGAGATTCACAAAGTGAAAGTAATTATTGCTGGAATCTTTTAGATGTGGAATTATCATTATGTGTTCCTATTTGGACCAATGTCCTCATCTTGGTTCAGCCACTGTACACTCTAGCCTTTTTCAGGTTTTTGTTGTTGTATTCTAACATTCTGAGAATTTCAAACTCTTTATTCACTCCATGAAGGACATAAACAACTTTATACAATATTTTGTACTGTTGGTAATGTTTTGTACTTCAAATCAGAAAGGACATAAATTTATTCAATATTTTTGTTGAAGATAAATTCTTGTCTGGTTAAGTGTTATTGAAATACTTCCTTTGTAAGTAACATGGAAATATGATTTCCAAATACACACAATACAGGAGTCTTGAAACCCATTAGGGTCATTGGGGGCACCACATGAACTGCACCCATAGCATCAGTGGGTGTGTCTAGAGTAAAGTAACCTAATGGAGCACACCCCTCTTTATAATGCTTTTGAATTCAGAGTTGTTCTTCTCGAACTGGTTGCCATCCAAAGTGAGAGCCTTTCATCATTCCTAATACACTCATAGCTATGGAGTTGTGCAAAAAAAATGGATTTATACCTTGTCCAAAAACACACTGCTCTCCAAATTTCTCTTTCAGATTTGTTAGCCATTCCACTACTTGAAATTCCTTTTGTTGAGTAGATCAATTTTGGTGGCACATCTATGAGAATTATGTTTTGAATTTTTCTCTTTACTTTCTTGCATAGTTTAGTGCTCTTGATTTGCTGACCATTTTGAATAGTTGAGATGAGTTAAGCTGGTTGTTCACTTGCTTTGACTTTTAGGCATTTACTTGTTAAATTGATAATTAACAGTCATCCAACTTTGCTCAGTTTAGTAGAATCCTGCAAGCATTATCTCTGCAGGATAACCTGTCACTTCTTTTAAAATGTAGCTGTATCCTTGTAAAGAAAACATAGAATAGAGAAGATGATACATAAATTAGACTAATAGTGACTGACCAAATGAAAAAAATCAAATGCAATGCCTTTCATCCCACAAAAGGACTTGTAACAACGATCCTCTCACACAGTGTCAATTGTAACACTGTATCCTAACCCCACTGGGTGGAAGTCATCCACAAGATCAGCCGTTGGTCCTGTATGGTCCAGTATTACAGGTTAGACATAAATCTCTGGTTTCAAATGTCGATTTGATTCTACTCACGAGCCATGTTGTGATTTTTTGATCCTGGTGAGTAGTTATCGGGTTGTAAAATTTCAAAAGCTCTCCATTGCTCTACCTGCAAGTTTGTTGGTTGAGAATTGAGTTAACAGCAGATAGATATAACCAAATCAATCCAATTTTAAAGGGACAAAAGTTTTTTATACATACATAACATCAACAATGCATATAATAATACAATTCTTTTGGCAAAAAGTTGAATGTCTCTTATATATGAATGATGATCAACAAAAGAAAATACTTTGTGTAATTTTGTTAAAAGAGAGAGGTGGCTTCGTTTTAACCCTTTTTTGATCTGTTCTTAATGCAACTACTACAACCGTCGATGTTCCTGTCCTCAGTAGTAGTAATAATAGTAATATTAGTGGTAGCAGGAGCAGCAGTGCTTATATCAACAGCACATGTTAGCGGACACTTCGTTCCAATCTCTGATGTCAATTCCTCTCTTCTTCGAGCCTCCAACTCAACTCTGTTCACTGTCTCTAAGCCAACTCTACTCTTTCAATCTCCAACATCTCCACCCAGCTCAACTGCACTTGAAGACAGATGAGCTAAAACTCTCTTTTATTCTGGTTAGCTTGCCTCTTTATATATAGAACTAGTAATGTATGTTTTTCTAATGCGAGCGTACTGACGTACTTCCAAAGTATAATTTCACTCCTCCATGTAAACTTTACTTTTTCACCGATTGGCTTCCAAGCTCCACATCAAGACTCTATTATTATCACCTCACTAACAATAACTATGCTGCTCTTTGTAAACTACAGAGAGTCCGGTTTCAAAAATAAATCCTAAATCAAAACATCCTTTATTTTAATTTTGATTCTTCAAAATCCATTTCTTTTTTTAAAAGTTTCGAATTATCATTGTCCCAGTAATTTTCTATTAGTAATCTGATAACCTTTATACACTTACAAAAAGATTGTATTTCGTGTTCTAAGTCAACTTTCTGTAACATTTACATTTCAAAGTCTTTACAGCATTTTTAACATCTTGGTTCGTTTGAAATCATTATTATTATTTCAGGGGTGATATTGCACCCCACCACAGACTTCTTTTAGACTTTTTTTTTTTTTTTTTTTTTTTTTTTTTTAATGGATAGAATCAGATATATGTAGTGGATAAAAACAAAAATATAAACATTGACATTTGTTTATATTTTTGTTCTTTCCCACTACATATATATGGTATTGTCAATAAAAATATTTAGTCTGAAAAAATCTTTTTTGTCTTCTATCATTTAAGTACCTACAAAAATAGATTTAAGGAAATTTGGGTTTTAGGGAGATATACAGGGTGAAACAGAAATGCCTCCCACATTTTAAAGGTTGACAAAAAGACCAAAGTAACTGCTATTAAAAAATTTATTTCACTACTGATTAAAGAAATGACTACTGTTTTTATTCATTTGGTTTTAAAAAAAATTAAATCCTCTAAATGAGGCCATACATTGCAGATGATTTGTAAAGTTTTTCCATCACCCAGAAGTTTGAGCACTTCAAAGTTTTCCTAGTGGTTTTCTTTTAAGTGCCAAACCTGTAGCCCTGAAATTTTCAATCCATGGCAGTATCAATTTTCTATCATGAACAGCATCATTCCAACATAACATGAAATGAGCACAAAAAACTCTGTGTTGTAATTCATCCGTCTTAAAAAAAAAAAAAAAAAGTTTCAACAAAAAACATGGTAACTTTTGGTATATGAAAAAAATGGTAAGACATAGATGAAGATGCCATTGCCACTCACCTGAGTTCACTAATACCACACAGGTGACAGTTTAAGATGTGAGAGGTAATTCTGTTGCACCCAGTATAAGAGAAGTTTCTCAATATAAACTAGAACATTTTGATTTATCTGATTTAATTTAACTATTTTTTGTCTGAATTTCTGGGATGAGGAGTTATCAATATATACATTATTTATATTTGGACTATTGTCCTTATCTCTGTTTTTTTTTATCACAAAGTTTTGGTCATTGTACCCTTTCTCAGGTGTTTATCAGTCTGGATAACCAACAACGAATTCTAAATTGTGCCCCTTATTTTATCTCTGGGGATAGACTGTTCTTTTTCCCCTGCTCATATCACTAGGGATATCATCCAGTTCTTATTTTTATTTAGTAATCTTCAGTAATTGCTTGCTTATTTCCACTTAGTGCAAATACAAACTGCCAGGATTGAACTCATAATCACTGTTACTAAATTCACAAACCAGCAATTTTTACCCACTGGAGTAAATTTAGATCCTCAAACCTAATCTTGACTGCTGATTAGGCTGCTGCTGCCCATGTTTTAACTACTGCTCTGGTTGTAGGCTTGCTGTCATTTGTTTTTCCTTCTTTATTGGTGGCTCTCATACTGCATTTCTCTTATGTTCTTTTGTGTTAAGGAGGTTCTCATAGCTTAGCATATGTGCTGATTCTTCCAGACTTCTAACTCTCTAGTATTTTCACTTCATTCCACTGATGACCACCCTTTTCTTTCCCTCCATGATCAATTATGTCTAATTTCATTGTCTCACCTCTCACTAGTTTTTAGGGAGCAGCTTGTTTCACTTTTATATTCCCCGCTACAACTAGGAATAGAGTATGTACAATTCTCCCCAGTGTTAAGCGTTTCTTGGCAGAGATTTCTCCATAGAGTGGAACTGCTTTTGAATATTGTCATAATTAATTTAAAACTTTTTTTTTTTTTTTTTTTTTTGTAGGGAGCATGAATGCAAATGGAAGAGTGTTTCACTTATTGGAATTTGGATTACAATACACTTGCTGTACTGTTGGCTTTCAGAAGATGCTATTCTCATTCTGATGGTTTCAAGCAAAACCAAATTAACTACAGTTACAGGAGTCACTTTACTCTTCTCCATATCAGAGATGGTCATTTTGGCAACTATTGTCCGCATAATATTTCCCAAACAGGAGAAGGCACTTGTTGAAGGGATTGCCATTATTTATTTATCCCATTTTTTTGCTACATTTTTACTCAACTTCATCTTGATCAATGTCGGGATGCAGGGGAACCATATTGTCTTCGTTCTGGAACCACTAGTCACTCTTGTCGTTTCCAACATCTGCATTGGGGAGCCATTAAAGATAGTGCTATCTGCAGCTGTAGTGGCCCTCACCATAGGAGCAGCCGGAGTCAGAATGTCTTTTGGAGATGCAGAAATGTTAATTGATCGAAGTGCCGTGCTGGATATCTCTTTGATCCTGCTACTTTCATGTAGGAACATTGTTTTGAAACACATCTATACCATGTCAGGACAAATAAAGACACAATGGCGGTTGAGTGTTGGGACAATTTTGGCTGTGTCTGTTGTGATGCTTGTAGCTATGCTGAGCCTCTTTGAATTCAGCTGGGGAGCCGCTCTATCAAAAGCCCTCCTTTCATGGACATTGCATGCTTCTTACACTGCTATTACATGGACAGTTCTGCTGAAGCAATTCTCTCCTCTCTCAGTGGCCATTATCAGCATAAGTGGACAGTTTTTGATAGACTCATTTGTCAGAATGCCACTCTATGCAATGCAAGATGTCATGATGTGGACTGCTCTCATCTTCTTCCTAGCTGGACTTACTTTTTATTACTTCTATTCCCGCAATTCCTTAGCTTACGAAAGGACATGTAAGTAGTTGTCTTTTTATTTATTTATTTGTAATTTCTAAAGAACTAATGGATTTTTTATTTATTAATCTGGCAGATTTTATCACTTCAGACATTATATTTAGTGGATACTCATATTAGAGTAGATGTTCCGGTTTAGTTATTAACCAATATATTTATTTTCATTTACCAGCCTAAATGTTTGAGAAATCTTATTAAAAAAAATATGAACTCTCTGGCAAGGTTCAAACCTACATCCCCACCCTGAGCAGAGGAAACTGTCGTTAGATCCAATGTGCTTTAACTGACTCCACTATAGAGAATTTTTGCCATTCTAGTGAGGCTGGATAGTGCTTTTAAGCAAAATCCTTTTCGTCATAGATTCTCAAAATTTCATATCTACTCAGTTTTGTATTAATCCTAATGTAAACAAAGGAATTTTCTAAAGAAGTAATGGAATTTTGATTTATTAATTCAACAGATTTTGTCACTTCAAAGTTATCTTTAGTGGATGCTTATATCCGAGTATACACTGTGGTTATTTATTAAACAGTAGAAGGATTTTGCTTAAAGACAGTATTCCACCTTGCTTGATCGGCAAAGGTTCTTCATGGCCAAGTCAGCCACAACATGTCAGATTTAGAATGGTTCACTCTGTCCAGAGGGATGCAGTTTTGAATCCTGCCAGAGAGTGCATATTTTTTTTTTCTTTATAAGATTTCTCAAATATTCAGGCTGATAGACAAAAATAAATATACTGTTTAATAAATAAAGCATCTACTCAGGTATGAGTATCCACTAAAAATAATGTTGGAAGTTCATTTATTTTTGTTTTATGTTAATTTGATGGGATCTCTATGCACCCTTGTTGACACTTTTTCTATCTACTTTTGTTTACACTTTACTATTGTTTATAAGAAAAGTTTTATGTGCTTACTATTTATTTAGAACAAAAGCAACTTACCTTTTGTTTTAAATCTTATTCATATTGTGAAGGTAGCTTGGGAGAAACACAAACTGCTAACAATTTAAAGCCAGATTTTGTTGACTGAAAGAAAAATTAAAAAAGAAAATTAGTAACAAGAAAGGACACTTATATTTAAAATCTGAAAGAGACAGTTGAAGTTTCTGGGACAGCTGAGGAAAGAGTGATTGCAGAAGTTAACAAACATAGGCCATATTGAAGACAAGGGGGTAGAGGAAAGCAGTGAGTAACTTCCCTAATGAACTTATGGAAATAAATGACAGAATAGGAATAGTAAAAAGACAAATACTCCTAAGGACTACAAATAATCAAAAATTGTAGAGAGCCATAACTGCCGACACCCTGTAGAGAAATAACACAAAACAAAAAGAAAGATGTATTTATAAAATAGACATATACACTTTTTATTTACAATATATTGTTTTGTAACCTAATGAAAATTAAATTTTGTGACATACTCATGCCAATATGGTAACTGTCCTGTCAGTTACAGTCTAAAAAACACTGACAGCATAATGACCCTGAATAGGGAGTGTGACATTTTAAGGGCTGAAAGATAGATTGATAAAGATACCAAGAGAGTTAAGACCAGATTTTAGTAAATTCAGAAGGTTTGTTTCTTTTTCATCATTGGATAAAGGCAGAGGGGAAAGACAGAAACATCTGATTTTTCTGCCGAAAAACCATATGGCTGAATTTGACAGATGACTAGGAAATGGAGACACTATTGTTTCCAAAAATTCAGGTTTTGGAATTCAGTAAACCAGTAAGAAAAGTTGGTTGAGATAAAAATTAATGTGTTCTAGAAACAAAGGTATAGTTAAAGAATTGTTTTTCTTTCTTTCTTTATCACTTGTCAAAAGAAGAGGAGAGAGGCAATGTAAAAGTTGAAATGGAGACCTCATTGTTTTTAAAATCCAGGTTATGGAATTATCTGTTGGCCATAACCCAGTAAGAAAAGTTGCTCAAGAGGTGATATTTAGGGTTTTTGGAGGCAAAGGCAAATTTGGAGAATTGTTTTTTGTCAGAAAAAGAGAAGGGAATGTGTAAATCACTGAAGTGGTGAAATTTCTTCAAATGATGGCTGAGGTACCATAAGAAGAGGCTATAAGAGGAAAAGCTGGTGAGTGTCCGAATGGGAAGGTTGAAGTGGTTGACGAATTCTGTTGATGAAAATTTTGGATGTCAATTAAAATTAATAATTGGAGCTGCTAAGTCATGCCTGCTTGCCCATGCAGTCTAGAGATTGGATTGGTCAGGTGACCATAGAAGTGAAAGGCCTAGGTAGAACACCAAGAGAGACAGAGAAATTGCCTACACCCCTTGGGCAGTATTGGTATAAGGCACCAATATGAGAAGGAAAGAGTTAGGCTGGATCAATATTCTGCTACCACTACTCCTCAGAGGAGGGATTTCTTCAAAACTGGGTATGCAATTAATGTCCCAGTGTCAAACAAAGAACTCTGTGTGGAGATTAGGGAAATCACCAAAATCCTAAACCATATTAAACCCCATGCCAGTTTTGAATGAAGGTCCATATAAACAGAAGATTGAAGTGACAATCAGAGAGAGAAGCCACCAGACACCAGACGAGAGATGACTGCTTTACCAAACTCGCGTAACTTCCTGCTGCTGAAGAACACCTGTGACTTTGCCCTGTGTTCTAGAAGCCTTGTCTAGACTTAGTCACAATGAACAAGATGTCACAAAATATTTGAAGAGGGGAAGGGCTGAATAACTTTGCATGACAAATATATTCCTACCTGAAGAACTGATATTATGCCATCAGCTCTGTACAAAAAACAGTATATAAAACATTTTCTTTATTGCAATTCATCCTATGATTTGTGGTTTCACTTTGTCTGGACTAGACCAAGTCAATGATTCCTCTTGACAATTTGATCCTTGCCAGCCTTGTGATCTAAATCAAATACAACATGGGGACAAGGCAAGGTTTGAATCAAAGTGATCCATTTAACAGTCAGCTGTGGGGATTGAATATCAAACAGACCAGCTGGGCAAATGTTGCAATGTCATAATTTGTGCTCGTGACCATTGGATTCACCAAGGGTTAACAACATCATAAGAGTAGCTCCTCCCAAATCAATAAAGTAATCTGCTTCAAAATAGATAAATAGTTGACATTATTATTTTGAAAGCAAAATCTTACATTTCTTTCCTCTCATTTCTGGATGGTAGTTGACATAAATTAGTACTTATCAAAATTTTTATAAAATTATAACTTTGTGAGATTTTATTGTCAATTAACATTGAAATTTAAATTAATCTCTGTAGAATTTCATATAAAATATATATATATATATATATATATATATATATATATACTGTATGTGTATATCAGGTGTGGAAATGATATTTGGAGGCCATGTGCTGCCCAAACTACATGCACCCTGCCCTTCTTGATTGTACCAACAAGATCCAAAGGAATACATGGCATTATATTTGGAGCTGGTTTGGCTGCAGGAGTTGCTGGGAAGTTTTAAGTGTTGACACTCAACTGCCTTTGAAGCTCCACCGCAAGTTTTCTGTCTGGATTTACTTCTATTGCCTTTTCTGTGTTTGGATATGACTGCAAGGCAGTGGAGGTTAAAAGTCGGGATTTTCCTTCCCCTAGATGAACTTCCTGAACTGTTGAGATCCATCTACCAAATGCAGCTGTTTATAAGGCACCACTTGTTCATCTTCACCCATTCTCATGGCGCTGGATTTAGTTGTGGCTTTTTGAGACACATGCTCTAATATATATATATATATATATATATATATATATATATGAAGAAATATACTCTTAAGGTCTGCTATATTTCTGGGATAAAGTGCTCAATATCAGAGATAGAGCGTGTGTAAATATAAAAGTGAACATTCAAGTCAACACTTAGAGGCGACAGGCTGTTTCATGCTACACAGTCATCAGGCCACCTTGGAGGACATGTGCTGCCTAGACTACATGCACCCCCTTTTCGTTTGTACCAACAAGATTCAAAAGGAATACATGGCATTATACTTTGGTGGACTGACGATTGCATGTAGCATGAAAAACCTGTCACTTCTAACTGTTGATTTCAATGTTCACTATATATATATATATATATATATATATATATATATATATATATATATCTTTAAAAAAAAAAAAAAAAAACGGACCACTTTTAAGGTACTATTATAATAATTTATTTCACCAGAGTCCTTTTAAAGGATGCGGATCATCAGATAGCACTTCCAAAAATGAAATGAAACAAAAAATGAAGTTAAAATTGATGGGTAGTGTAAGTTTTTGTAATTTAACAGAGTGTAAAAGCGATAGTTAAAGAGACATGGTAGAGTATAGGGAGGGATTAATTTCATATCTCTCTCAAGTATACTTTGTATTGGGGGAGGAGGAGTGACCATACCTTGACCTATTTAGATGGTTAACTTAACTAATAAAGATGTTACCGTAACTATTTTTTACAATATTAAAAAAGTACGATTGTCAGGTAAACAAACTATTATGATTTAAAGTATTTTTTAATATGTTCTCTATAAATGTGTTAATGAATATAGTATTTAACTTATATTAAATCCCTAAACTATGTTTTAAAAAGATTAAATATTGAAATTGATAGCAAACATCAAATTAATTTTTTTTAGACATCTAAATTACTATCAAGCATTAAAATCTATTTACATAAATTGCTAAAACCCAATTACAGCCTCTTTCTCTTTAACTTCCCTCTTCTTTCTTTTTCCTTTTCTCCCTACTCCCCTCCCATTTCAATATATCACTTCCGTTAAGTTAACCGTCTAAATAGGTTAAGGTCTGGTCTAAACAAATGTGAGTAAATGATGTTGAATTTTTGTTTATAATTAATATTTGTTATTTTAGTTTGGTATTTATTTATGTATTGTATATATTAAATAAAAGGAGGAGGTTATTAATTTAACCATTTTCTTTTAATTTTTAACATATATGCAAATTTTTGGTTCCCCATATGGACAGTGGTAAGATTTATGACCATGGCTTGGTTGCTATTTATTGAAATGGCCTCAAATGCTATCTTATTAATCCTGGCACTTGTGGCCTAATGAGCTGGAAGACAAAAGTTGACTTGAAAATGAGTTGCTGTGTTTTATTTTAATATATTCAAAGATATTAACATAAAATATGGCTTCTTATCACAAGACTAACAATTTTATCATTGAAATCAATGGCATTCTTCTTCTTTGATCTCCCCCACTATTTCCCTTATGAATATAGCTGTCCTGTTGGCAGGGCTTAGAATTTGCTGACTGCATTCTCTGCAGACTAGTAAGATTTCTTAACAAAAAAAAAAAAATACCTACAAAAGTGAGCAGGCTTTAGTATAAATCCAACCAATTTCTACCTTTTTTGAGTATGATGCTTTGAAGTAAAATTAAGTCGCAGAGCAAAGAGAATTGTGCCAAGTTTTCAAAAAGTAGCAAAGAAAAAGACGTAGAACTGGCCAAACCAACTTATGCTCTTCATACCAGTTATTGTTATCAAAGTTTACAACTGACATTTGTGTTGGTGTGAATTTTGGTAGTTTTGTACTTTTTCAAAAACTTTGTCTTTTAAATTCAGTTCCTTATTACAATACAAAAGTTAATGATAAAGAGAAAACTGAAAAATAACAATAAACATGAATTCAATGAAGAATGGTGGTGAGGGAGAGAAAAAGTCAAATGTTTTCATTTTCAAGACCATTTTCCTGAAGATGCCTTATAAAATACATATGGAACTTGTTGATTTAAGAAATGGATTCCAAATATTGTAAATTTCTGACAAACATTACTCTGTAAACATTTTCTAGAATGAGAAAAATTTTCTTGCAATTATATCTGTTATTTTGATATTGTGTATAGATGTGAACAAACATTTTCAGATTTTATTTTTTAATCATTTCACCCTAAGCAAGACAATAAAGTCACTAAGATGCAATATGTTGCTGAGTGTAGAAAATAAGGGAATATAAGAAAAAGAAAAGTACTATCAGAGAGAACAATAAAAGAATGAGAATTAAAAAAAATGGAAGATAATGATTGCATTTAAATTTTGAAAATCTAAGTTGACTGGAAAGCAAGAAACCAGAAGAGTGTTCCAAAAGTGAGAAGAGAGGAGCATAGAACTTTTAGCAACAAACTTATTGTTACATCGAGTAATTTCAACTGTAAAGTGATGAGCCATTGTTCCTAATCTAGTAGTAAGTTTAAATTCATAAAGTCTGAGTAACAAAGAGGAAAGCTCATCAGAACAATTACCATAAAAATATTTATAGAAAAGACCCAGGGAGGCTGTTATGCAACACTTAATGGAAGTGACTGAAGCTGATATAACATGTCAGGACTGATAATATTGCTGATTCTTCTTTGTATTTTATCAAGAATCTCTAAATACATAGCATAAGCACCAGATCAGATGTGGCAGCAACATTCAACGCATGAAAGAATGATAGATTTATAAATGTGCAAGATAGATCCTGGTTATTAAAATAGAAACAAATCAAAATTGTGATTAACAGATCAAAATATGCACACTGTTGCTACTCTATTGCTATTTCCATGGCAAATATACAGATGAGCTCTATTCTTAAGTTTCCCCAGTTTCAGACCTTTACCCCTAGGACATATCTTTCACCTTTAAATCAATCTCTGAGCACTTTTTCTCAGGTACTGACAGTTTATGGAATGGCTTCTCACATGACTGCTTCCCTAAACTTTACAATTGTAATCTCTTGAAGTCAAGGATCAATAATTATCTTATCTCTACTTCCTACCACCTTCTAGTTCATTCACACATCTCACTTATCATTAACCTGTAACCTTCTGCTTTGAGTGACTCTCAAGCCTTGTGTTGGTGATATTTAGTAATATATATATATATATATATATATATATATATATTTTTTTACAAGATTTAGTGGGAATGTATGATTAGTATGGTTCCCCTGAATTTGTGCATAGAAAACTTGATGCATGTAGTGTGAAAAGTCAGTCACCCTTGACTTAGATTAAATTGTCTTCTGTTAGTCTCTGTTTTTTTTTTTGTTTTTTTATATAATGTTTGACCCCATGGGAAGCAGAGACTTTTAAAGTGTCTCAAGTTTTTTGTTATTGCATGCTTTGCAAGGTTCATAGTCAGTCATGCAATACAATGACTGAATGAAATCTGTTTTGTATACAAGCAGCAACTGTGCATAAATGCTCGTGAAAGTTTAGTAAGTTGATGAAGCGGTTGATAAGCCTCTCCATAGATGACTAAATATTGGATAACATTCTTTTTGAAGGCGTGTGTTGAAGCAGAAATTTATCAGAAAAGAGCCTCATGTTAAACTCTAAACACCACCAACAGATGGGACAGCAATACAAGGAGGCAATTTCAGCTCAACATGACCTCTACCCAATGAAAACTAGCATTATTTATTTCCTACTATTAGAAGAAAAATAGTTTTTGTCAGAGGAGGTGTGCAGGTGGTGTAAATTTTAGTGGCTTGGAGCAAGGAATCAGCGATCTGATTTCAAAATCCAGTCAAGTTTATTACATTCACTTTCGCACAAATACCTTTTGAATCTTCCCACCCCCCAACTAGGGCAGTCTCGACTCTTCAACCTTTGTTAGCAGTCTGTCTAGAAGGACAACTTTGAATTCAAAACCAGTTTAGGCTTACTGCCACATTACATTGAAACACCAGTTTCCACGTGATCATTGAAGTTAAGCAACGTTAAGCCTAGTCAGTACCTATATGAGTGACCACTTGGGAATACCAAGTGCTGTAAGCTTAGGTTAATGGATAATGACTCGGAATTATTCATTGGAGAGCTAAGTTCCAAATCCTGTTTGGTTTGTTGTTTACTTACATGCAAATACCCTTGGGAAAGGTATGAATCCACCATTTCTCCCTACCAGCAATGGGTTAATTGAGACTTGTATCATTAAACCAATATTCAAAAAAAAAAAAAAATTCTTACAATCTAAAAATATTTTCTGGCTTTAAATAACCTGCAAAGGGTTGATAAGCCATAGAAAACAAATCAATCAAAACCAGTTTGGTATGAAACTAGCAACTCTATCCTGTAAAAATCTACTTTCTATGGAAGCCACAGCAACGACAAGAACTTGTTGATAGCTGTGGGTACTATACTCCTCAATGGAGTTGATAGAACTTGAGTGAGTTGTTAAAGATGAAAAATGAGTATTGCATGTCAACAGTAAAGGCAAAAAAATGAGGGGTTAAATTGACCCGAAAATTGAAAACGAGAACATCTATAGAAGATAATGAATTGATCCCTAATTATAAAAGAAAGGATTCTCTGTTCATTACACACTGTTTGCATTTGACTTTGAATGCTCACATACATCACATATATCTGAGTTGTTAGTTGATTGAATTTGTTTAGTGACATATCAACCCCTACAGCTTATTTAAGGCTTAAAACTAAATATTTTAAACATAATTTTGTTCCTTCAACTTTTCATACTTTCTGAGTAAACATATGTTTTTTTAGATATAGTTTGTAGATGATAAAATGTATTGCTAGTAATTTTGCTATAAAAATGGATTGCTGGTAAATTGTCCTGATCTGGTGGCTTGGCTTCTGTTACTTGCCCACTGCCATAAGGTTGCCTCTCTGTGCCTTTTTTATAAATGCTTTCATGGTAATTGTTTGGATGAGCTTTTTGCTATGGTAACTAGACTGTATGAATTTAAGTGTAATGCTAGACTGGTGGCAAGATCTCCTCAATTTACAGTTGAGCTGGCTAGATATGGCCATAACTTCTATACTAACAGTTTCTTAACTTGAATTTCTCATTTATGAAACTCCCTCCCAGCTCCATGCTTTCCACCCAACTAATCTGCAAAAGTTTAAATGCAATTTCAATCCCTACCTACTGTCTTCGAGATTGAGCTTTTCTCTTTCAAATCATTATTAATATTTCTGTTCCTAATTCCTTCACATCCTGTAACCCTTTTCTTGGGGCGATACCAATTAAAAAAACAAAAAAAAATGATATAAGCCATTGCTAAAGATGCTGTAACAAAACAAACAAAAAAAGAAAAATGGTCAGTGCAATATCACTCCAGAAAGTATATGACATCTATCATATAAGAGTTAATTTTGACCAAAAACGGACTGTTGCTGCTATATCTGGGCAAGAGCTACTCATTATTCACTTTCTAACTTTGATAGATCTACTGTCCCCCAATTTCTTTTTTTTCTGCTCTTTACTAATGTTTCTGTTACTAATTCCTCCCCCACACTGTAATCCCTTGCATGTTAGTGGCTGTACTGCCTTTCTTGGGGAGATACCATTTTTTTTTTTTTTTTTAAATGGATTGCTGGTAATTTTGTTTGATGGTTCACTATTTTCCCCATAGCTAGAACCTTAACAGGCACTACCATCCTGAGTAGGGGGGACCTGGGAACAATAGAGGTACTTCCACACTTCTCAAAATCTCCAATCTTGCTGCCAGATGTAGTTTATCATCATACCCAGGACAGTGTCTGGGTTGTGCATGAGCAACTTGCATATGCTTCTGTCATTTAATGTACCTGTAAGCAATTACATATACATACACAATTTCACTGAGTGAAAAAAATAGGACAATGGAATAATACATTCCCCTCCCACTCAGACTGGTCAGCCTAATAAAATCATAATGTTGGAGACAAAAAAAAAAAAAAAACTTCCACCCTAATAAAATCAGAAAATTATAAAATTTTATTTACATTTTTGCAAATTATTCATCAATAAATAAGATAATTTAATCCTTTGAACCTGAAATATGCCTGCACAATCTGAATGAAATTGAAATGAATGCCTGTGTTGTGAGGCTTCATTTCCCATTCTGTCAGGCAACAAACCTTGGGTAACAGAAAAAGAGTATAAGCTGAAACTTTCAGCCCTTTGAAGTAATTTTTGTGAATCCTGTATTTAAACTGAACATATTTTCTTATAAATATAGTATATATTCATATATCTATTTTATAGAAATTTCTAATTTTATCTAACTTTAATTATTTGATTTTATAGAAATTTTATAGTCAATTATATATAATATGTATAATTATATATATTTATACTTAAACTGAATATATTTTTGTATGAATATAGTATTTTAAATGGACAAATGATTTCAACTTGAGATTTGATCATTTTGCCATCAGCAAGTTGACAACCAAACTTCTATGCACTGTGTCCCTTCAGGACATGGGCAGTCATGGGGTCTCTACAATTTCCTGTCCTTTGTAGATCTTAGTAAATTTTGTTTTTTTGCTACCACTAAAGCTAAGTTATATGCTGTTTTCCTATCACCCACCTGTCTTTAATATGTCTTATGAGTATTAAATTTTTCAAGCACTCTTTTCTCATTATGTGCTCTAAAAATTTCAGCTATCTCTTCCTGATGTTAAGTGTGCTTTTTGTTTCCATTTTCTCTAAAACTTTGTCGTTGATCACCTTCTTTGTTCCATAGTATTTTCAGCATCCTTCTATAAAACTGTTTCTATTGCCTCAAGTTTCTTCATCTGTGAGGATTGTTCAGCATTCACTGCCATATAAGGAGGACTGATACTGTGTAACTGTTCAGTACTCTTTTCTTTGTTTCTAATGAAATTTTCCTGTTTCTTAATACTTTGCTTAGCTTTTTGAAGGCATCCTTCACTATCCCAATGTGCCTTTCAATGTCAGTATTGCATTTTCCATCTTCTGTTAAAGCACTTCCCAGATATTTAAATTGTGCTTACTTGCATGTCGAGTTGTTCCTTTTGCTGACAACCATACATTCTATCTTCTTGCAATTGATGTTTAATCCTTCCTGCTTGCTTTCCTTCCTTTTGTAGAAGTTCTTGTAGTTTCCTTTGTCTGCTGCATATTTTATGTTGTTAAGATTGTTGCCACCTGTAATTGATACCAAACTAGTAGCTTTTAAATTTGTCTACTCTGTAGTAGGTGTCTCACCCAGACCAGATTAGAATAGACTTTGCACTTTGTGTCCTTCAGAGAAGCCAGGTGCAAGGATGATCTCTTAGACAGTGAGTGGGGATCTACTTTTCACCCAATGTCAGTGGTGATCTTGATATATACAATATGCTTTTTTCTTCTTTATTTTTTTTTTTTTTTTTTCACTAAAACCAATGGCTCTGATATATCTCTTTTGTTGGCCTTCCAACCAAAATGGAATGGTCTATTATTTATCAGAGGCATTGACAGAATGCAAAGCATGTACTAATCAACTAAGCAGAATGGTGGTATCCAAAAAATTGGATTACCAGTGGTATCACCTTTTAGTCATGTTTTACATTTTCTTTCCTCAGAAGATTTAGAAACTGGTCTTTTCTAAAGTATCTTACTTAAATAATCAATATATTTCTTATATATTGATGAAGAAGCTTCATTCATATACATCTGTAAAATGAGATTGTTTTGTTTATTTACAAAAATCAGACAATGTTGAACATAAAATCAAATTCACTTATTGGACAAAACCAAACAAGTCATGACCTGTTCTGTATACAAATAATATAAAATAGCATTGATATTAATCATATTTTATGAACACACAAATAAATTGTTGCTATGACCAAAACTTTTTTAAAGTGAGAAATAATTGGTAATTAATCAAAAATCAAGTTATAAGATGACAACCAAATTAATTTTATATTTTAATCCTCTTTGCCATGAATGCAAGTTGATTTTTATTAATTTGGATGTCATTCTGTATCAAGTTTAGTCGAGTTCCATGTCAATGTATCGTCACCATTAATTTTAAATAAAACTGTTGACCGTTTAATTTGAGGATGTATAATTTTCTTTCTTTTTATTTATTTGACTGAGTCATAATTCAAATAACGTTAATGAATATGTGGATATTCCTCTGTGATGTGTCCCTTCAAGGTGTGAACAGTTGTGGCTCTTCACGATTTCCTGTCCTTTTGGAGCTCTTAATAAATTTTGTCTTTTTGTTATCTCTCCTAAACCCTGTTCTTCTATCCATTTACTCAAGCTCACTAAGTAGGTTATGTGTTGCTTTCCTCTGTACCTATTCCTGTGAGTATCAAATTTTCCAAGACCTCTTTTTTCATTATGTACCCTAGAAATTTCAACTGTATCTTCCTGATGCTTTTTTGTTTCCATTTTCTCTGTGGATATTTCATAATTCTAAACATTTCCTTAATTCATAAATCAAACTGAATAAATTAGTCTTCAATAGAATTCTGTTCAGCTCATATTAATCCTGCTTTGTTAGAATTTTTCAGACAAGGAATTATCATCTGTACAGTTTTTCATTTTCAGCCTGAGAATAATCAGAGATTCAAGCAACGAAGCCTCCTAAAGCAAATGTGATACTGGACTTTGATTTTCTTACTGTAGGTTTTTAGCTTCAGTAGTATAGACCCCATCACCCTAATAATAACTGAGGGGACAATAGTGGCCTGAATGTCCCACATTGTGGCAACCTCAATCTGGAGGTCTGTGTACTTTTTAAGCTTTTCAATATTTTTGACCTTGTTATTATTGTCACTAGGACAACCACATCGATGAGGAGGTATTTTCTTGTTTGTTTTATTTTCCAACGATGGTGATGTCAGGTTTAGTACTCTCAATATTATGCCATTATATACCAAGGTCTCAGAATAACTTTTTTAGCCAACTAATTTTTTTAAAGTGGCTTACTAGTAGCATAATAAAATACCATTAAATTGTTTTAGAAATAAATTAAAAAAATAAAATATTCAAGTTTTAAAAATGAATAAATACAAAAACAAATTAAGTTTTACTTAAGCTTTTTGGTCAAATCATCTTGGATAATTTCTTCAATATGGACTCTCGAAATTGCATATACATTTCTCTTTGAATTCTGTGAAAGCCCATTTGGATTTAGACCTAAATATATTAAGTCCTTCCAGTCTTTCCTCTGTAAATAGAAGGAATGGATTTTAGGACTGATATAGCAGACACTGTTTGGTTTTAGTGAGAAAATGAAAGCATGTTTAAGAATGATGGAAGAGGCGATAACACTCTCATGTGTTTGTCTACTTCAGTGAAATGGAAAACTTTGTCAGAATTTTTTCATTTGTATCTTCTTGTTTCTTTAAATAATGTCCTGCAGTCATACATATGATTGTTATTGTAATAATTTGTTAAAGTTGTTAAGCTCAAATATTTAACAATGCAGTAGGTGAATTTCCATAAGTATTTATAGTCGTCTAATTTGCAAGAAGTTTATTCACTCATTAACATAAGAATTAGCCGTCATCAAAAATGAGAATAAAATTCTATAAAATTTTCACAGGTACTTACTGCACATAACCCATAATTTTTTTCTACTTTGTTAGAATATCAGCCTGACAAAATGACATCTGACATGAAAGTATATGAAGCAGATGTGTTTATCAATAGAGTGAGACATTTAAAGATCTAAAACATTTCATCTTCAACTACTCTAAGTCAACCTATAAATTGAAAGCCAGGATAAAATATATCTGTATATTGTAAGTTAGTGTGGCTGATGCTAACCTCCAGGAGAGTGACTCATTGATTTCTCAGACTAAAGTTTTCCTCTGACAGGAAGTGGAACAATTATATTGAATCAACTGTAAGACCTGCTCCTAGGAAAATTGGTTCATTGTGTCTTTCTAGACAATTTTTCTCCCCAGAATCTATCTTATATCCTTGTAATTCTAACATTTGTCTATGCATTGAATATTGATGCAACATCTGGTCTGGTGTTTATGCTATGTATCTACATATTCTAGAAAAAATCCAAAGAAGAATCTGCAAGAATTATTGCTCCTAACCTAACATCTAAGCTTCAGTCACTTTCCCACTGCCTTTTAGTTGCTTTATTGTCTTTCTTGGGTGGACATCATTAAAAAAAATAATTTCAAAAGTGGAAAAAATATTGTTTCTTTTTTTTTATATGTAGAAATATAAACAGGAAAATGATTTATTGAAAAGTATTAAATTGTTGTTTTTATTATTGCTTTCTTTCATTACTATGTCACTATTTTCTTTAAATATTAAGTTGTTTAGAAAATAATGTCCAATTTTATAATAAATCTCTTGTGTTCTAATCTATTATTATAATAGTTTCACAAAAATATATTACTTATTCTTAATAATTAAACGGTCTTAATTTTATATCAATCTCTTTCAGAATTGAACGTAAAACATTTATATATCCTTCATCTTGCATATTAAAAAAGACACATTTACTTTTGTTTGCATGAGTTTGCTTGGTCAGAATGCTGCTTCCAACATTAAGAGAGCATGGGGTGAAGGATCCCTTTGTGTTTGGACAGTATAGTACTGGTTTCTGAAGTTCATCAGTGGGGATATGAGTCTTTAAGATCAAGGTGATAGAGGATGTCCATCTGCAATTGACAATCGACATCTTGAAACACTAGTCGAGCAAAAACCATATCAAAGTGTTGGAGAAATGTTGTAGATAATGGATGTTAACATTTCAACAATATCAGACCATCACAAGAAAATTGGCATGGTGAAAAAAAAATCTATAAATGGGTTCCACATGAACTCAATGAAAGTCAAAGAGTGGCATTTTGAATTGTGTTCAATGATGTATTTGCAAAATTCGAATTATCTATTTCTTTATCGAATAGTAACTTCTGATTAGAAATGGATCCTTTACGGCAATCATAAAGAATCTATTCAACCATTACAGCTTTATGAAATCTAACCAGAGCATCACTGCCAAGATTTACTACCAGCAAATGAATAAAATGCACATTGGTTAATAAATGACATCCAATTCTTCTTCATGACAATGCTCAACCACATTTCCAGGAGGAATTATACTGCAGAAACTCATAGAATTGGGGTATGAGGCTTTGCCACACCCACTATATTCTCCTGATCTCTCACCCCCTGACTATCACTTTTTCAAGAATCCTGACCATTTTTTAAGCTAAAAGACATTCAGTTGCAAAAAGATGCAGAAATTGCATTCAAAGATTTTTTTTTTTTTTTTTTTTTTTTGCATTCAAACATTCAGTTTCATCTTAAAGCTAAAAATAAACTTTTAATTCAATGGCAACAATGAATACATGTTCAAGTTTCCTATTTTGATTGATTTAAACACTGTTTAAATACATTAATTCAGGATTCTAAAATCGGACATTATTTTCCTAATATCTTCTTTTCTGATTCCCTGTAGGCAACTATATTAAAAAGCCACTTTCTTTTCTTGTTTTGTTTTTGCAGTGTCTTTCAATGAGATGTACACACGGCTTGAGTTTGTTCTCTTTCTCACAATCATCCTGACCTTATTCTTTTATACATTACCACCAAAAGTCAGCCCTCGAGACATAAAAAATATTCAATATCTCCGTTTAGACTTGCTTTTACAGAAATTCTTACGAACCAGCCAAGTTTCAAGCTAAAACTGAACACAAGTCTTTATTATTGTCAACTTGGAAGAAACATCATAAAATGAATTACCAGGCAGAAATGCTTCAAGAATTTTCCTTTTCAAGAATTAAAATGTTTGGAAATGTCCAAAGATACAATTGCTGGAATTCAATTCTGGAATTTTGGTTACCATTGCAATTTTTTTCTTTTTCAGTCACTTAATATTTCTTCAAACTTGATGTTAAAAAAATAATGTTTTAAGTACAAAATATTTTTTTTCCAATTGTACTGAGAAAAAATTTAAATTTACCAGATTATAGGATCTAGTACACTGTTAGAATATACAACTTGTTTTTGCAATGTCAAAAGAGGTGAAATTTGAAAACTTACTAGCAAATAAACCTTTACTCCCTCACCAAATATACAATTAATGGAAGCAACTTTTTCAAATTTTGTTTTTACATTGCAAAACAATTTACATATTGAATAAACCAGAGAAAATACTGATTGACAGGATTTCTTTGGATATTGAACTGAAATATCTTTCTGTGATGTAAAGCAATGAACAAATTAAGAATTGTTTTCCTAATGAGGAATAATACAGTGTAGGTGTTAAAGCCTACCTTAGATAAGTATTACATTTTTTTTTTTTTTTTTTTTTTAGTAATTAACTAAAAGTAAAACTTTTTATGAAAAATATATTTTAATTTAAAAAAAATATAACTAAAATATATTTTTGTTTATAAACATCTTCAAAGATTGTTTACAAGTTGAGCCTGATATTTTTTTAATCTAACAAAATAACAAGACTCAATCATGACATTTCTATTCAGAGGCATTCCTTTTGCTTCTATAAGAATATTTTGGAAACACATTGGTTTAAATATAAATTAAATTTTTACACTTTTTTTTTTTTTTATATTATTTAAATCTTGGGGAATAAAATCTTTTCAAATACAAACATTTTTCTTTGTCTACATTTTGAAAATTTATTTTTGTTATTTCCAAATGTATGGGCTTACAGCCATATCATGTTGAAACACTGGTTCTTGAACAATCACTGAAATTAAGCAATGTCAAACCTAGTCAGTACCTAGTTGGGTGACCACTTGGGAATAATAGATGCTGTAAGCTTGGATGTACAAGTGGTGTAATGGATAGTATCTCGAAATTAGAAATTTGAGAGCCAAGTTACAATTCCAGTTGGGTTTTTGATATTCATTTACACACAAATATTCTTGGGAAAGGTATGAATACAAATTTTCTCCCTCCCAGCTATGGGTTAATTAGTAGAACTTGTACCAGTAAATCATTATTTTCTAAAAAATAGATTCTTACAATCTAAAACTATTCTCTGGATTTAAATAACCTTCAAGAAGTTAATAAGCTGTAAAAAAAACAAAAAACAAAAAAAAAACAATCAATCCAAATTTATGATTTATTGATATGTAAAATGGAAACAAAGGATACTTACTTAAAATCAGAAAGCAAGTTGAAATTTCTAGGGCACATAATGAGGAAAGAAGGCTTGCAAAATTTGATACTCACAGGATAGATTGGAGGCATGAGGAAGAATCACACATAACCTCCCAAGTGAACTTGAGTAAATGGTAGAGCAAGGTTTAGGAGAGATGACAAAATTTATTAAGATCTACAAAGAGGCATGATTACCTATGGCCTGAAGACACACAGCATATAGAAGAATACATTTGTGTCTATATTCATGAGGAAATACTGAAAGGTTTCTGACCTAACTGAGAAGGGATTCCAATATAAACACTGGTGATTGGCCAGATTTTGGGGAATGGGTCAAGATTTTTCAGAAACCCCTCACAAAGATTGCTAATAATCTGACTAAAACCCATCTCTAGCCAGTATTACTGCTATGAATTTAATATTTAAAAAATATATTGTGTGGTTTGAATTAAAATCATTTAATTATTGAACAAGGAATCTTAACTGATCTGAGATGTTACAATTGTTGAGTGATTGTCCCAGAAACTATTGAAGACATTAGAGGGCAGGCCATTGGCTAGATACAAAGTTACAACCAGAATCACAGTATTAACAATGAGGATCTTGTTCAATTTTTTTTTTTTTTTTTACTTGTAGTTACAAAACATAATCGTGACTGTATGTGGAAAATTAAGGATTAACAAATAAGACATATTGCTTATTTGGGGACTAACATCCTCATCATTTTCATTGCTATATTCATGCCATGCAAATTGTAGTGAACCACCCTCATTCTCTTTGTATTCCATTGATGAGATGTAAGTTCCACTGGAGCATAAGCTTCTTATGAACTGCTGCTTTGGAGAACTGACTCTCAAGAGGTTGCTTTCCCAATCACTGCAATTTAAAACTGTTCAAGTCTCTCCCCCACCCACATATTGCCATAAACTGTGCATCTTACTCTGTAACCTTCTACCTCAAGTGGCTCTTGGGTCTTGTACAGGGTGAACATCATTGTAAAAAAAAAAATTCAACATATTTAATAAAATTCAGTGCAGTCAAAAATGATAAGGTGGCTATTATTTATTTCAAAAAAAGAAAAAAATTTTAATTTTATTTTCTCAATTTCAGGATTGGAATTTGTCATTTTATTTGTCGAATTGACATCAAAAACAAAGTTACATGGAACAAAAACTTGGAAGCCATCACCAAATTTTTTTTTTTTTTTGAATTCTCATAATGAGCATTGTGGTATGATCTATATCTCCCATTAATGCATCTGTCTTGAACACATATATTCAGGAGAACTCTTAAAGCTGTCCTTGAGCCACATCCCACTTTGTGGGGAGCTCAGCTAAATACACAGTATATTAAAGCTTATTGATAAGCGATATGATTTGTCTAGAACAATTCTACTACAGGCATATTTCTTCTTTATTACATCAAAGGAGTAATAATTACATTTTAAGAAAAGCAAAAATCTGTCAAAGAAATGTTGCCAAATTGCTTTGTTGGGTTCAATGAAGCAGATCATAGCTACAACCCCTGACAATGGAGCAGATCATAGCTACAACCCCCTGACAATGGAGCACATCATAACACAAAAATTATGGAATTAATGAAGAGTATGTTCACTAATGTGTTTTTTCTTTTTTTTTTTTTTTTTCTTTAAACTATTTACATTCAGACTATTGTCCTCATCTTTGTTGTTATCACAAAATTTCAGCTGTTGTGCCCTCCTTCATAAGGTGTATATGTAAATAGTGTAAATAACTCTTCATTCCAGAAATTCAGACAAAAATTAGGTTGTTTTTTTTTTTTTTTTTTATTTAGCAGTAAATAAACTAATCACAAATAAGATGCACATCCTTTTTTTATTTAATAGTTGAACATTCTGGCTTTATAAAATAGACTTTAAACAAATGAAATTAAATTACTTCAATTAATGGTATAAGTTTTTTCCTAGCTATACAGAGGAAAATATGATTGAATTAGTTTTGGGTTGATTAGCAAAAGAATAAAAGTAATACTTATTTGTAACTCCTCAAGCTTTTATGAGAACAATATCTCTTTCAGGTATCAATTTCTCTAATTCAAAGCAACATTCATTATCAAAATGGTTCCAATTTTCCCAAACAGTTGGAAAATGAGTGCCTCTTAAATTGTCTGAAAACAACCTCAAATCCAGAGTTGACACCTGCTCTTCTCTCCATTCTCGCCAACTTTTTTGGATAGACTTGTGACTGGCGACGAAAAATGGATATTTTATCGAAATGTTAAGCAATATAGACGTATGTGGTAAAGGGAAGTACCCCAGCCGAGAAGGGAACTTCATGGGCAAAAGGTTCTTCTTTCAATCTGGTGGGATCGCCAAGGAATAATACACTTTGAATTCTTACCACCTAATGCAACAATTAATACTCAAATGTACTGTTAGCAATTAGAGCGCTTGAACCAAGCTTTGAGGAAAAAAAGACCTACTCTAGTGAATTGAAAAGAGGTGATGTTTCATCAGGACAATGCGGGACCCCACACAGCAAGAATCACGTCACAAAAGATCGAAGAACTTAGTTGGGAGAAAATTCCTCATCCACCTTATTCTCCCGATCTTGCTCCTTCAGACTACCATTTGTTTCGTAGCTTACAGAATCATTTGGAAGAAACAGCTTTTGTAATACAGGAAGAGGTTAAAACTGACATTTGTGAGTTCTTCGAATCAAAGCCAAAAGAATTTTACAGTAATGGAATTAGTAAAAATTATTAATAGATGGAAGGAAGTCATAGATAATCAGGGAAAATACATTGTTGATTGAATCTGTAATTAAATGTAACATTTGGTCACTTGTTTTCTTTATTCAAAATTTGGACAGAACTTATGGGATGACCTGATATTTTTTAAAAATACCTAGTTGGATAACTGTGTGTTCGATATAAAATCAGGTAATTTTTACACCAATTCGGTATCTTCCGTATGAAACCATTAAAAGTAGAAATTGACTCAGACATAGTAGATAGGGAACAGGTTACATGATAATAAAATATCTTTATTCGATTATTGTTGAGGTGAAGTAAATTTTTAAAAACGCCCAAATGCTCTATAAAAATAGTTTGTTTTTTTTCCGCAATAATATCCACTTAGAAACACTATCTAAAATCTAAACGAAGGCACTACAATACGAGAATGTTAGCTTGTTTACGCGATATGACCCCTCTCAGCCTTTTATGGGAAGCTAGCGGCAAAACATCAAACGGCCCATTAACGATACCAGCAATAAACTGTGAGTTAAAATAGTCATATATCTTCATATGAGCATTTTTATCAAGCTTTACAAATTCCTCCTTTCCACAAACAAAACAATACACGCATTCTTAACATACAAAAACCGTGTTGTATAAATGATGTCAATAAATTGCACTTTTGAATATTATAGTTGAAAGTTCCTTTTGTGTAATAAATTTAGGTACTACCAAAATTTTTAGCTAAAAATGCTTTTAAAATAATTTAAGTGTCTACTTTTTATCGATTTTTTTGTTTTATTTGAAAGATAATAGCCTAAAGCTAATATCTTTAAAAAAA